CCCTGGCCGGGCGAAATTCCAGTCTGAGGTGGGTGGAGGCGCCAGGGCGCGGTGTGCGCCCAGGCACCCACTGCTCCCAGGCACCGAGGAGCCGGATCAGGGACCGACTCGGACGCTCTCCGCAACCTCTGCAAACGCGCTTTCCATAGAGCAGCGCCCGGGACCCCTGTGCCGCGGCTGGGTGGGGCAGTCGCCCTTGGCGCGGGAGCCTGACTTAGGCTTCCGCCCCTTGGTCCAACGGCTCGGGGCAGGACCCAGGGAGTCGCCAGGAAGAGAAGCCCCCTCCTGTCCTCCAGTACCTCCCGCTTTTCTGGGGACCCTAGCCTCCGCCACAGCCTTCCCGGGGGGAAATTCCGTGAGGTCGCCTACCTCGTCTTTCTCTCCTTCCCCACGAGATCCCTCTCCCGCCCTCTCCAGCATAGCTCCTTCCTCCTCCAACCCCCTGTCCTGTACTGGCGGCAGCTGCCTGACCTGAGGATAAGCGATGCTCCCGGGTCTTGGCGGCCAGAGCACGGTCCCTGTCTAGCCACAACCTTTTTGGCAAAAGTGAGGGCTGGCCTGGGGCCAGGCCGAAATCACGGCTCTGGGAGTGTCCAGAAAGAGAAGTGGGACCCGTCGTCTCCCACCTGGCACCACCTACCCCTCTCCTCGTTTGCACCAGGGGCTCAGCCTGCCGGTCCCTCGGTCTTGGCCACTGTGCTTACTCCCTGCCCGGCCTGGGGAGGAAGCAGAGGCAGGAGGCCATCCTGGGCCCGGTGATCAGCCTCCTCCCCGGGCCCTTCTGGGCAGGGCTCCTCTGCCGGCTGGCTATGTGTGGGTGTGTATGTGCCAGACTGAATGAATACGGCCAACCTGCTCCAGCTACTGCCTCTAGAGCTAGCAACTTCCAGGGCTCAGAGTTCCCAAGCAGCAGTGCTGTTGCTGATTCTTCATGACCCAGGGGTAGGCAGAAGGGATCCCAGGCTGAGGGGACTGAGATCCAAACCAGCCTGGTCACACATGCCCTTGGTAGAAGCAGGTGTGGGGGCTGAGTAGACATACATACATACACAGCAGTGCATGGCCCTGAAGAGCAGCTGGTGACCCCTGGCCTGGATAGTCGACTGCTGTAAAGAGGACCTTGCTTAGGGAGTTGGGATTGCTTGTCACTGTGGTATCTGGGACAACTTGCTTCTCTGTCTGGGCCTCAGTTTCTCTACCTGTAAAACAGAATGAGGGTAGCAGCTATCCTGCCTGTCCCCATGAAGCTGTTGTGGAGATGAAATGATGAAATGAAAAGGTTGAGAAAAACTAGAGTGCTGTGTAACTATATAGTGAGACAAGCATCACTCCTGCAGGGGTTAGATGCTGGGCTCTGTCTCAAGTGTTGCAGCTGGGCTAAGGTATGCCAACTTCTGTCCCCTTCCTGGGCCCCCTCATCCACTGCCTCCTTTTTTGGAGCTGGGACATTCCAGTCCCATTCTTCAGGGGCAGCTGCAGACACGCCCCTCAGCCAAGCTGATTCCCCAGCAGGTGGTGGGACCCTCCCCTGGGGCCTCTGGAGGGGCTGACCACAGCCTGCTGTGAGTCCGGGAGTGGGAGCTTCCTGCCCACGTGCTCTGGGCTGTCCCACCCCAGAGGAGGTGCTTGTGGGGTCAGGGCAGGCTTCTTTCTACACCAGGGGAGCCTGTGCGCTTTCTCCTATGCAGCAGAACATAACCTTAGGCACATTATTTCACCTCCTGGGCTTTGGTTTCCTCCTCTGAAGTGGCGGGCGGTGGCACTACTCCCCTCCTGTACATGTTGTGAAGCTGTGGGAGACACAATATCATGCTGACCCAGCGAGGCACCCACTAATGGACACTTGGATGCCTCCCTAATGTCTATCCTTTCTCTGCTCCATGGCCAGGATGGTTCCCCAAGCCCTGGTCTCCTGTCTCCACCAAGAGTGGTCTGAAAGATGCCCTTGTGTCCTCGGCTTTCAGTCTAATGGCTATTCTTGGGGCTGGGGGATGGGAGCAGGAGTAAAGGGACCCTATTGGGGCCAGTAGGGGCCTGTGTAGAAGTCCCAGCCCAAGCCTAGCGTATGGGGTGGTGAGGGGTTTTCAGCTCTGGGCCACAGGGCTGAGCAGGGAAGGGAGGCACTTGGAGGCAGGCAGTAGGCTCTTTGCTCTGATGGTCCCAGTAGGGCTGCAAGGTGCTTGTTGTCTCTCCCTGCTCCTCCACCAATCTCTCTCCAGCCCATACAGTTGTCCTGGCCTGACAGGCCTCTAAGCAACAGGAAGGAATGTGTGTTGGGGGAGGCAGGGGAGGTGTTGGATGGACCCCTGTAGGAAAAGGGACTGTCTCCAGACTGAGATCTAGGCAGGGCGGAGCCTACTGAAAGCTGAAAATGCAGCCAAAGAAGTTACCTAGGAGGAGTAGAGGGCGGGGGCTTTAGGAAAGACAAAGGAAAGGGACTGTCTATTCCCCTTCCTCCAGCTCCATAGCTGTTTTTATTTGTACAAGTCACTTGTGGAGAAGTCAGTCCCATGACCCCCTTAGCACCTTCTTTTGTACACGTGCACGCGCACATGTGCACACACACCCACATACACACCTGCATCTAGTTTCGGGGCTGGGGAGGACCCTAGATCTTTCTTTGAGGATACCTGTGTTATGTATATGTGTCTGAGAGGGTGGCATGCTCAGTGCTGTGGGTGACCTTGAGCATGACTCTGTCTGCTGTTGGATATAATTGTCTGCGCTGTATCCTCTAACAGAGGAGCTTCTGATGCTGGTGGCACTGCAGTGTGTGGTGTGCATGCTGTCATGGCCCATGGCTTCTCCTACCCTGGACCTGAGACCCTTTGTGGGGCACAGGGGTGTGTCAGTTATAGCTCTGGCACTTAAGACAGAAAGCGAGGACCTGCTCAGGGGAAGGTGAGACGTGCGTTTGGGATGAAGTGGGCGTATTTGGCACCACTTTCACCATCCCTGCACCTGTTCTCATACTGGGCTTACAGTTCACAAGACCTTTTACTTCCATTGTCTCTGTGACTGTCACAGCAACCTTGTAAGGAAGGCAGGGCAGGCAGAGTTTCCCGCTTCAGAGGTGGGGAAACGGGGGCACGGTGAAGGGAGGTGTCCCACTGAGCGATATATCGTGTGAGGGCAGGGCAGGAGACCAGGTTCTCTGCTGTCCACCTCCTCAACAGGAGCGACAGGAGTTCAGTGTGTTCTCAGACACAGTGTTGTCTGTGGCTGGGTGTGAGGGGCTGTCAAATTGGGAAGCAGAGACTTCAATTCCAACTTTTTGGGCTGTGTATGACATCCTGGGTTCCCACTTGACATTCGGCAGCCGTGTGCTGGGATCACAGGTGTCCTCACTCTGACTAGCTCTGTGACTTTGGGCAAACCACCTTTCAGAGCTCCAGTGCCCTTAACTAAAAAACTGCAGTGTATCACAGGACTCCGAGATCCCCTGTGTAGGACTGTGTTGCTGTATCGCCTGTGATTCCTTACTTAATGAGTCCCCTGACCCTGCGTGGCCTGTGACACCTCCAGAGGGTTTGAGCGAGCTGGGGGCAGGGAGGAAAGGGTTGAGAAGGTTGCTTTTGCCAGGGTTAAGGTTGAAGGCCACAGGGTTTTGGGGCAAGGCTGTACCCTCCCTCCCTTTTACTCCTGGAGAGCTTTGTCTTCCACAAACAAAACCTGGAAATGGTTGAGGAAGATGGAACCTCCTAAAGACCATTGTTTGGGGTGGGGGTGGGTGTCCCGGAAGCATACTGGATGGGTGGTGGGGGACACATAGCTACAGTGTGCCTGTTGGGTGTCTGCCCGAGAATTGGAGCAGTTGGGTGGGAGTCAGAGAAGGTGGCATTGGTTCATCCGGCAGTTCTTTTCTGAGCACCTACTGTGTGCCAAACTGGGCATAACACAGGGCATCTAGTGGGGCCTCACTATCCACTGTGTGATCTCGGCACAGGTGGGAGATAGCCTGGTCCCTCGGCCTCCCGTCAACATCATTGTGTGTCTGACCACCTAAGCTCAGGTTTGGCAGCCTGCATTGATCCTGGCTGTTGGCTGGGCCCTGGACTGGGTGCTTTGTCCTGTTATCCCATTCTCCTAACATTCCTGATAAGAGTTGTCATGGCCATTGTCTGGATGAGGAAGCCAGGTCCCACACACTGACTGGCTCCATGCTGGGCCAGGATTTAGGACGCCCCTTTCCTGGTGGTGGGCTCTAGAGTGGCAGTGTGTATAGCGGGTGGCAGGGACTCTGGCTGCCTCTTCCCTCTGCCTCCTACCAACACCTGTTCCGGAAACTGTGGCCATTGTTTCCACCATCCTTCCTCCCCTGGGGCCCTTCCTGTTTGTATCCCTCCTCTTTGTAACCCCACCCTCCAGGTGCTTCCCTTGGGGAGCTGACTCTCTGCAGGAGAGCTGAACTGAATCCCGCACCCCAAGGGAGGAAGGAGGCATGGAGAGTCTGAGGCTGCTGGCTGGTTCCTTGTGCCCTCTGTCCACCTCCCAGATTGGATGGGGAGCCTAGCAGGAGAGTGAGCAAGGTGGTCAGATGGAGCCTGCGTCCTCAGCTGGCTGCATCCTCAGCTGGCCCCATCCTGGGAGGTGCCCTGTCTTGCTGCTTCAGGGCCTTCCCTCATGCCCCCCAGTCACACACTGGCCCGTAGCTAGAGCTGGGGCACCGGGAAGGTGGCTTTGGGGCCTGTACCCCTTTTTCTTGCCAGCCTAGAAATCCTGTCCTGGAGTCTCTCCAGACCCATATCTGCCTTTCCCGAGCTGGGTAGAGAGCCAGCACAGAACAAGCATCTGGGTTTAGGGCATCAGGGAAGGTCGGCTGCAAGTGCCCGCCCACCCCTGATGGAGCATCCTGATCCCCAGAAGCAGCTGCCTGTGCCCTGTTGAAACTTCATGGCCACAGTCCCAGACCCTGCTGGCATTGCCATGGGCAGCGTGGGCAGCCTGTTGGAACGGCAGGACTTCTCCCCTGAGGAGCTACGGGCAGCACTCGCAGGGTCCCGGGCCTCCCGCCAGCCTGATGGGCTCCTCCGGAAGGGCTTGGGCCAGCGCGAAATCCTCAGCTACCTGCACCTCCCCAAGAAGGATGGCAAGACCACCAAGCGGGTTGCTCGGAACGAGCCCGCCGACTATGCCACCCTCTACTACCAGGAACATCCTCGGGCCAGTGACTTCAGCAAGACTTCGCTGCCTGAGCGGGGTCGTTTTGACAAGGTGTGCCTCTGCCCACACCCCTCCTTAGTGTGGGAGGGTGGGGATGGGGAACTTGGGGCCTCCCTGGAGACCCTGATGCTGGGACAGGGCTGGGACTTGAAAGTTCTGCTATGGGCTAGCTAGAGGCTTGGTCTGCCTCTCGGTGGCATGTGCCCCATGTCTGAAAGAGGATCCCCAGGGGCTGTGAGAGCATCGGATGGTAGCGCAGTCAGCCTGGGGCCTCACACCTGCTCTCTCTTCCTGGCAGTGCCGCATTCGCCCATCTGTGTTCAAGCCTGTGGCAGGCACCGGGAAAGGCTTCCTGTCCATGCAGAGCCTGGCGGCCCACAAGGGCCAGAAGCTGTGGCGCAGCAATGGCAGCCTGCACACACTAGCCTGCCACCCTCCCTTGAGTCCGGGGCCCCGGGCCAGCCAGGCACAGGCCCGTGCCCAGCTGCTGCATGCCCTCAGCCTGGACGAGGGTGGCCCTGAGCCCGAGCCCAGCCTGTCTGACTCTTCCAGTGGGGGCAGCTTTGGCCGCAGTCCTGGCCCTGGCCCTGGCCCCTTCAGCTCCTCCCTGGGCCACATCAACCATCTCGGGGGCTCCTTGGACCGGGCCTCGCGGAGCCCCAAGGAGGCTGGGCCACTGTCCATGCTGAGCTGCCTGCCTGAGCCACCACCCCCCTATGAGTTCTGCCCCACTGCCGAGGAGGTGGTGGCCATGCTGCCTGACACCTGTGAGGATCTCAAGAGAGGCCTCAGCGATGAGGATGGTGCCAATCCCTTCACACAGGTGAGAGAAGCCTCTGTCCTGGGGCCCTCTTCTCTCCCTTGGCATTGGACGATAAGAGTAAGAAAGTAGATGATCTGGCTGCTCTCCGCCCAGCTCCCGTGGTGGGATGTCAGGTCACTAGGGGTCCTTGCTGGGGTTGTGTAAGAGAGATTCCCTAGGAGGGCTGTATGTTGGGGAAACTTCACCGCTGGAGGGCATCCCAGGGTAGGGCACATGTGTGGCCAGGGCATTTGGCCCTGCACCCTATGGTGTTGGGGCACAGGATGTTGGCTATAGCATCAGAGCACTTATGGATGCGCCAGCCCCACCAGGCACCTCTTCCCTTTGGCAGGTGCTGGAGGAGCGCCAGCGGCTGTGGCTGTCCGAGCTAAAGCGCCTGTATATGGAGCGGCTGCACGAGGTGGCCCACAAGGCCGAACGCAGTGAGCGCAACCTCCAGCTACAGCTGTTTATGGCTCAGCAAGAGCAGCGGCGCCTGCGCAAGGAGCTGCAGGCACAGCAGGGCCTGGCCCCTGAGCCTCGGCCCCCAGAGGCCGACCCCACGACGCGACCGGAGGAGGAAGCCCGATGGGAGGTGAGAGGCCAGGCTCTCAGGAACTTTCCTGTCCCTATTGCTATAATCCCATCCTCTTCCCGTCCCCCAGCCGGACTCCTCTCCCTGGCTTTGCTTGGCTCTTGCCCATCCTTTGCCCCCTTTCAGGTGTGCCAGAAGACAGCGGAGATCAGCCTCCTGAAGCAGCAGCTGCGGGAGGCCCAGGCTGAGCTGGCGCAGAAGCTGGCTGAGATCTTCAACCTGAAGACCCAACTTCGGGGCAGCCGAGCCCAAGCCCAGGCCCAGGACGCAGAGCTGGCCCGGCTGCGTGAGGCCGTGCAGAGCCTGCAGGAGCAGGCCCCTCGGGAGGAAGCCCCAGGCAGCTGTGAGACTGATGACTGCAAGAGCAGGGGGCTCCTGGGGGAGGCTGGAGGCAGTGAGGCTGGAGATGGCGCCAAGCAGCTGCGGGCAGAGCTGCTGCAGGAGCGGCTCCGGGGACAGGAGCAGGCGCTGCGCTTCGAGCAGGAGCGGCGGACGTGGCAGGAGGAGAAGGAGCGGGTGCTGCGCTACCAGCGGGAGATCCAGGGGGGCTACATGGACATGTACCGCCGCAACCAAGCACTGGAACAAGAGCTGCAGGCGCTGCGGGAGCCCCTGGCGCCCTGGAGTCCTCGGCTTGAGTCCTCCAAGATCTGAGGCCAATGGAGGAGTTGACAGCAGCAGCACTGTCAAGATGGCTTGGGCAAGTCTGCCCTGAATGGCAGCTCCTTCCTGACAGTGGTCTGGGGCAGAATCTGCTGAGGCCAACCAGGGATGGGGAGGCCGGCAAGAGGAGGGATCCAGTGGGGCTGTGGGCTGCGTAGAGGGCCGACAGCGGGAGCCAGGGCCAGGCCCTCCTGGCTGAGGAGCACCCTGGCAGGGCCCATCCTTGCTCCTGGAGTAGATGTGGCCCGGGAAAGGATGCTGGGAGATGAGGAGCCCAAGATGCAGACGGGCAGGCACAAGAGACAGAGATGGAGGCTGAGACAGGGAGGCTGGGATGGGAACATTGGCCTCCCCCAGAATAAAACCATGTTTTCTACGAGGAGGCCCTGGGTGATAACGGCAGGCCTATCCCTGGCTTGAGTCAGAGGATTGAGGATGATCGAGGTTGGGGCTGTGGACCTGGGCTGTAGTGCCTCCCTTGGTTGTGATCCATGGGAGGCTGTGCCCTGTGCCTGTGTGCGCAGCTGCTGGGCCCGCGTGCTGGTGAGTGGAAGAACCTTGCCCCAGCACCACATGGTTCCAGAGCTGCTGTGTGGGCTGAAATTCGGTTCTTCAGCACCAGTGGGATTTTCAGATGGAACAATGTTAGGGAACCCAGAAAAACAAAAGGGCAAGTCACCCAAGGCATGGGTAGGGTAGAGCATGAAACATTCTCGGCGGGAAGTCTGAACCCTGGTGCCCAGGCTCCTGCTGGGTTTAGGGTTGGCCTAAGCCAGCTCACTGGAGCTTCTGAAGGCTCTGGTAGGGTCCTGCCCCTCCCAGAACCCACCTCCCATCTTACTATCTGGCTATAATGCCATAAAAATGGAGGGCCTGTGAAGGTGCAGGAAATGGGGCAGACAAAGCTTGTGGGTCTTTGGGTTGGCCACAGGCAAGGAATGTGGACATTACCAGTAGACATGGAGGGCCATGGGTATTTTTAAGCAGGGGTGAGATTTTGAGCTAATTTGTATTCTGAAAACTTACCGTGGGAAGCAGCCCCTTACCTCCCACCCCTGCCTCAGACATCTGGCTTCCCTTCTGGGCTTTTGCTCGCTCCTGGGTGGCTGGCCTGGAGCACAGATCCAGTCTGGCTGTGCAGGTGGCGTCTCTCCAGCCCTGTGGTAAAGCTCGGCGTCCTTAGGGATGAATCATTGTGACTGCTGCCAGGCACTGTCGGGTGGTCGGGGTATGGGGACTCAAGGTTGAAATGGATGTGCTTCCTGGCCCAGGGGAGGCAGCACACAGGCCTGTGCTCTCAGTGCTGCCCTGGTGGGGCAGGTGTATCCTTGGGATTCTAAGCAGAGATCCCCAGTGTGCTCCCTGTGGCCATGGCCCCGCCCTCCTGACCACACCTAGCAGCCCCCCTGGCCCCAGAAGGTGGGTCGTGTGCCCCACCTTTTCAGGGCAGAGAGGGGTGTGATTTGACTGCCAAAGGGATGGTGTGTCTGGCCCTGTGAGTAGCAGGTGTGTGTAGATGTGCTGTGGGTGGTGGGTGTGTTTGGGGAGGGGGGGTGTGTTTGCAGCTCCTGGGTTGGAGGCCAGGAGAGCTGCTTCCTGTCGCTCCCTCTGCCCATTTCTTCCCCCCCAGCTCCAGCCACTTTAGTGCTGGCCAGGCTTGGGTGGAGCCTGTGGCCAGGACAGACCCTTGAGTTTAGCTGAGACCCATCTGGGCCCACTCCTTAACCTGAGTCCTCTGCCTGAGGAGAGAAAGGTTAGACAGTCCTGTTCCCCACAGGCCTTAAGTGTCCATTTCACAGACCCCTCCAAACCAAGGTCTCTAAGCCAGAGGCCCTCTAGGGGGGCCGGATGCTGGCTTGAAGCCTGGGCCACTCCTTCCCCTAGTCCTGGAGCTGGTCAGGCTGGGTGCCCATGTGCCCCGCAGTGTACACTTTTCCGTGTACCAGCTCTGCAGAATAGCTCCTCACCCAGCAATTAGAGAGCTGGGCCAGCCAGTACAACCAACAGGGACTGGGTGGGTGGTACCAAAACTTGGCAGCTGTGCCAGAAACCAAGGCCCAGCCCAGATGCGGCGGGGGGGTGGGGTGGGGGGGGGC